GGATTTTGGTAATTTAATAAAAGTCAAGGTTATTTCAAACACGTCACCACCTAAATTCCTTAAGCTATATTTTCTCAATTTGTTTGGTATTTTGGCTTGTTTTACATTCATTTTCTTTTTGAATTCTTTACCAAGTGATTCTCTACTCTCACTTTGGGGTAATTTTATTGAAAAAGCCAAATTTACTTGATGTCTTAAATAATCCTTTTGACCATTTTGACTAATTAACATTTGGATGGGTTTGTTAACAAAATACATTATGAGTATGAGTTGCAAAAAAAAAAAAAAAAAACAAAAAAAAAGAGTTGATTATGAAATCATGCATATAGGGCATTTAAATGAACCTAAAGTTAAATAGTAAACAAGTTGTATCTTGAGAACTACTTTTCAATAGGTATCCATACTAGAAATGAAAAATGACCATATTTCAAATTCTTTTCACTATTAATTTGTTATCCCTTTTGAGCCTATTGATTATCCTTTCTGAATGAACCATAACTAAGGATTACCCTTTAAATCTAGGGACTAGTACAAAAAGAAAAAAAAAAGATCTCATCGAAATGGCATGTGATTTTGTGTTAAGGGTTAGAAAATAATGACTTATTTGAAGGGACAAGCTTGAAAAGCTGAGTTCCAAAACTCATGCAAAAAAAAAAAAAAAAAGTGAAAGATGAAAATACATGTCTTGAGAAAAAGAAAGATGTTTCTAGAAAAAAAATGATTCTTGGTTTAATCATCTTTAAATACATTTTTGGGCCTATTTATCTTTTCTTTTAAAATCTTAAACCTTGGCCTATGCTACTTTCTTTAAAAAATCCATTTTGATCATGTATGGATACGTAAATTCAAAGCTTGTTCCTTAGAAAATCATTATGATTTGATTTTAGATGAATTTTGCATGCTCAAATGCATGATGGAATAATAAAAAAAAAGAAAAAAAATAAAGTTCTAAGGTAAAAACCTGAAAGTGCAGTCCAAAGTAAGATCGAAGAAAGCAACTTAAGATTTTTCATGCAACACCAAGAAGGTATTTTGAGGGGACATTGGAAACTTTTCTTTAAAAGCCTAAGGAGATCAATCTCACTATGAAGAATCCCTCTAAAATTTGGGCCTTGTTCATCTTTCAAACCTAAAATTTTGAGCCTACCATAATTAATCTTGACATTTATTAAAATACTACATATCAAGAACTGAAAGAAGTGCTAAAATAGATTGCACTTTAAAAGACGATTTTCATTTGTGAGCGTAGATGAAAAGATATTACTGTTATCATTTAATGGCCAAAATCTTTCCTAATGTGCCAATCCATTGCATTCTTTTAAAAATACTAAGTTATGATTCATCATTTTCATTCTAGGTAGTAGTCATCAATTTTTAAGAGATTTGATCATATGCGAAAGAGAGTTGTGTGGGGTAGTTTCCATTGCTATTCTTGGAAAGTTTTAAGAAATGTTCAAATTGTATTGAATCTTAATACTCATGGTGGGAGATAGGCGAATGCTATAAGAGACCTTTTTAGGATAAGAAAATGCCAAATGTAAGGGATTGATATTGAAACAACTCACTAGACAGGAAGAATGGTCTTTAAGACTGAAAATGTTGAGAATATTTGCTTTAGGATGTGAAAGAACTTGTCAACTAATTAAAAGGCTATGTTTTGGAAAGATGGAATGAAGAAAAAGTTTTGAAAATCTTATTACCATAATTAAAGACATTTGGTATAGAATTCATGTATTGCATTCATTGCATTTCATGCATTTTATGCATCACATCTATTTCATATGTTGCATTCATATTTTTTAGGAAAAAGAGATTTTGACATAAATTTTTGATAAAAAAGAAAATTTTGATCAAATAAGATTTTACCTCAGGGTATATTTGTTAAAATTTTTTAGTATCAATTTTAAAAAAACCTCTGGGTACATCTTCAAGATTATTAAATTCCTTTTAAAGTCTTCCAAGCAAAATCTATAAATCTTCGGAGCATGATCTTTAAAACATCCAGATATATATTTTTTTAAAATAGTTGAATGCTTGTTTAAAAAAAAAATCTTTTTTGAAGTTTGATTTGTAAGATCTCCGGGCATAATCACCAAGTCCTTTTGGGCAAAATTCATAAGTATTCCAAGTTGAATATTTTTCAAAGTTTGCTTTATGAGGCCTTTAGGCATAATCACCAAGTCTTTCGGATAAGATTCGTAAGTTTTTTGAACTAAATTTATTTTAAAGTTGAGATTTATAAGACCTCTGGACGTAATCTCTAAGTCTTATAGGCAAGATTCATAAATATTCCAAATTGAATCTATTTTATAGTTAATATTTGTAAAACCTCTAGGTATAATCTCTAAGTCTTCTGGGTAAGATTCAGAAATATTCGAAATTGAATCTATTTCATAGTCAATATTTGTAAGATCTCTAGGTGTAATTTCCATGTCCTTTGAATAAGATTCACAAGTCTTTCGAGCTAAATCTATTTTAGAGTCAATAATTTGTAAGATCTCTAGGTATAATTTTTTAGTTTTTTGAACATGATCTATAAGATCTTTAGGCATGATCGTCAAAACCTTCAGGTGTAGTCCTTAATTTTTTTTTTTAAATTATGTGCTTTTGTGTTAAATGAGCCTTTAATTTTTAATAGCAGGGTACCTCAGCTTTTGAAGAGCCTTTAAAAAAAAACAAAACAAAGGAAAAAAATAAAAAAAGGGAAAAAAAAAACAAAAAAACAAAAACAAAAAAACAAAAAATTTGAATAATTTGGGCTCAAACATAATGGGTATTTATATCTTTACACAATTCTTGTTTCACCATAACTGTGCAAAAAAAGGCAACTGTAGATACCTTATTTAGACTAAAACTTAAACCAATTGGGCCCAAATACGATCCAAACCCAATTGTCTAATTTCCTACACATCTTTTTTATATCTTGTTTGTCTTAGTTATTTACTTATCTTTTTTTTTTTTTGTGTTTTAGTCTTTTATTTATCTGGTTTTAAATTTTATCATAAATCATGTCAATGAAATTTGTAGAGTAATTTGAGCATTAATCAAGGATGATCTCAGTAATTAAGACTTAAACATGATCTCTTCAAATATGAAAAGAAGTTCGAAAAGAAATCAAATTAGGGAATCAAAGTCAGATTTAATTTAAAAATTTTTAAGGGATTTTGAAAATCAAGAAAAAACAAAACAATTCCAGAAATTAATTAAACTAGTTATAAAGAGAATTAAGAAAAAAAAATCAATTCAAAGCATAATCAAATCTGCAATCATTTCCATTCAATGCAAATCCCTAAAATTCTTAGTAAAAGGCCTTATATAAACACCAATCAACCACACATACAAAAAAAAAAAAAAAGAAAACCCACCAAGAAATGGAAGAGTAACAATCTATACTCAAGTTTTTTGGTTAGAATTGGTGACTATCTACCACTACAGATCAATGGATACTTCCACCTAAGCGTGTCTCCATCCATTAAGATAATTTTCATATTTTGTTTATTTATATATTTTTTCATTTATTTCACTTTTTTTTTATGTATGTTTAAAACAAAATTTAAACACTATGGTTTAAATTATAAATTTTTTATATCATGGGTTTAGAAATTTTAAATTATGAATTTTACTAAATTATTTGAGAATTTCATAATAAAATTTTTGAAAAAAATAATAATAAAATTTTCAATCCTACAAACTATTGGAAGATTTAAATTTTGAATTAAGTCTTACCAAATTATTGGAGGACTTAATGAATTTTTTAAATAATAATAATAAAATTTTTAGTCCTACTAAACTATTAGAGAATTTAAATCTTGAATTAAATCTTATCAAAATATTAGAGGACTTAATGAATTTTTTGTAAAAAATAATAATAAAATTTTCAATCCTATCAAACTATTGGAGGATTTAAATATTGAATTAGATCTTACGAAACTATTAGAAAGCTTAATGAATTTTCTTAAAATAAATTTCATACATAATTTTATAATAAAATCTCACCAAACTATTAGGAGATTTGCATCAAAGTAAATCTTTTCAAACTATTGAAAGTTTTATTGATTATTTCTTTAAATAAAATATATTAATGGATCCGACGACAGAGTTTCTTCAAAATGAGACACTAGTCTCCATAAATACTCTTGAGGTGAGGTAATTATCTTAAATTACTATCAAACTATTAGAGCAATTTTAGGATCAATTTTTTATAATTAAATTATTTGGTAAATTATAAAAATGTTTTAAAATTTGAATAGCTTGAAATCAAATTGGCACCATCCGTTGGATGGGCACTGTGAGGGTGCTATAACTTTCTTCATATGTAACTATACTCTCGAAATCAAAATATGGTTTTGTAGACTAGAATCTACCATTTAAAGATACATAAGTCAAACTTGAAACTCCTATTTAAAATGAAATAAATTCAGTTAGGTGACCAATCATACTCAAATAAAAAAGGTTGGTGGTGACTCTTAAAATCTAATTTTAATGATAACTTTATAGATTTATACGTTATGACAATGCTTATAAAAAAATTACCTCTAAAATTTGACTTCTTTATGATATATGAACTAGTCGACAAAAACCTTAGTTTTATGTTTATTATTGAGTATTGAATAAATGATTTGTGTGTTTTTTTAAAATATTATGATCATAATTTCAATATATTTATTTAGTGGATTTTGTTATCCATTTCCATTGATGTAGATAGTTTGTCTAACCACATAAATTATATGTTATTTTTATTTCATTCTATGTTTATTTATCTTCAACATGTTATTTTTAATAATAATAGATGCAAATTTTTTAAATAATTAAAATTTAAAAAGTATTAATGAATTGTGCTTAACCTAATTTGACACGAAAAATAATACTATACATGGTATGACACGATCCATGAAAATTACAGATCATGTGTTGTGCTAAGCCACACCCTTACTTTTTATAAGTTGTGTCAATATAGTACGTTAAAAAATAGTGTAAAATATACACTATCCATTAACATATGAATTAATATTTAAATGTGATATTTGACCCCTCTTAAGGCCAGCCAAGCATAAAAAGCCCTGGAATAGTCTATTTTCTTCCATTCATCTTTAATTTTCTGTCTTGTCCTCCCTTTACTTTCCCTTTCCTGTCTTCCTAGTGGAAAATAATGGAGTACAAACATGAAACTTTGACTCTCTCATCCATCTTGCTTCTGATGCTGGTTGGTTTCGCAAGGTCTGATATCAATCAAGACAAAACAGAATGTGCTAATCAGCTAGTTGGGCTTGCTCCATGTCTCCCATATGTTGGCGGACAGGCAAAAACCCCCACCATAGATTGTTGCAGTGGGCTCAAACAGGTGCTGGATAAGAGCAGGAAATGCCTCTGTGTCTTGATTAAAGATAAAGATGACCCCAGCCTTGGCCTCAATATCAACGGTACTCTTGCAGCAACTCTTCCCAGCACATGTCGTGCCCCTGTTAACATGACAGATTGCATCTGTAAGTAAAACACATACAACAACATCCTCAAAGCCTTTTTATCTCTTTTTTTGCTGTTGATAGGTGATCGGGATTCAATATCTGCCAATTTCAAATACCAAAAAGCCCCTCTTTCACTTTCTTTCTAATGTTGATTTTGCTTTCTATTTTGGCTGTGAATTCAGCCCTTCTGCACTTGGCACCCAACTCCCAGGAAGCAAAGTTATTTGAAGGATATCAAAAGCTGACAGAGGGGCAGGCCAGTATCCCATCTGCCAGTGGTAACATATAATTCATATCTCTTTACTAATTTTTCTCCATAAATTATTTGTTAATTGTATCATAACTTTTACTTCATATACTTTCTGATATATATATTTATAGGGAATTCCACTAGCAGTGCTGCAGACGAGAGTGATGGAGGAATGGGAAAGAAGTGGGTGGGAATTGAGATGGCTTTCGGAGTTTCACTATGGGTTTTCACTATATACCAAAACTTTGGTGGTGTGTGATAATGGAATTTACAGACAAGTAATTAATGTATCCATATTTTATAAACAGTGGTCATGATCAAGTTATGTATTTTATAGTCTCTTTCTTTCTTTCTTTCTTTCTTTTTCTTGGTTGTATTTTTGCAATTAATTTTTTTCTCAACTGTAAAGGAAATCAAGGGGAGCCACAGGTGTCATTTCGATGGTCGGGACCAGATCTCGATCAAATTCTAATTGATATGACAGTGTGGTGGGTCTATTGGAAGTCAACTTTGAGTCGAGCAAAATGACTAGCAAAGTAGCAATTAAATTGAAGTGGGAAGTTTAACTCAATAGGTTATATAATTATTTTAAAAATCTAATAGTTAATGGGTCTTAAATTTGACTTTTAATACTTATATAATTTTTTTATTTTTAAATTATGATTTTTTATGTAAAAAATAATAATTAAATTGAAATAACTTTCAAGCATCATTAATTTTAATGTACTATTAGATAGAAGCCCGCACTTCGAATATAATAAAAATATATTTGATATATAAAAGTTTAGATATTAAACAATAAAGAGAAGAAAAAATTTTTTTGTTAATTTTTCATGCCATGTTATGTATGGTATTTCATATATTTTGACAAAAAATTAAAATTAATATATAGAGTATTTCATATATTGTAATTACATTTTTTTTGTTAATTTTTATGCTATGTTGACAGTATTGTATTTTCGATTAATCATTTGATCATATTTATGATTTTTTTTATTTATTGTAAAATATAAAATTTTTTTGTAAAAATATTAAAACAGAAAAAAAAGAAAAAATAACTTAATTTTAATTTTTTGTTTTTATATATATTTATATTTATTATAATTATAACTATAATTTTTATTATAGATAAAAAATTATAAAAATTCAAAACTCATAAAATCTCTCTTAATTACAAATTTACATCAGACAAAACTCACATTTTTTTTTTTTTAAAAATCCATTTAAACCTCAACTCATCATGTCTCAATCCAATTGAAGTCCAATACGTCATTACCTTCTAAATCCAATAATTTATTTCATTGACTTATCAACCAATACTTATTTGACAAATGAAAAATAATTTTGCAGCTCACAATTTAATTGAGAGTCATCCCACTTAGGGATAATTTTTACTGTATGTTATTGATTAATTTACATGCGAAGTATTAATAGTCTCACAACTTCCATTAAAAGATAGTATTGATTAATTTTATATTATCTTAAAATGATCCTAGCTAAATTGTATTTTATTTTTAATTAAGTTTCAAGAGTTAAAATATTAAAAAAATTTTGTTTTTCTCCAATATCATGATGAAAATTTTAAAAAATTCTCTTATATCAAAAGTATTCAAAAAATTCATTTGTTTCTTTAAAGAGGTTCTATTATCAAATTAATTTGATATTTTATGGAAAAAAGTTTATTTATTTTTGTTTTCATTTTACTAACATTTATTTTTTACTAAATAATTTATTAAAAATAAAAATTTTTATTGAAATATTTCCAAAATTTTTTAACACTTTTGGTAGTAATCTTGCTTTAATTTCATCATTGGAATAATTTTTATTTATTTTAAAAAATTTATAAAATTTACATGATACAAATAAATAAAAAAATTATAAAAAATTATAAAAAATTATAAATTTATTTGTCTAACAAATTATTTTAGTTTTTTATATTTTCAAATAAGTAAAATACTTTCCTAATATAAACTTTTAAATATTTATGTAAATAAAAAATAAACAAATAAATAAGAAAATCAATAAATAAAAAGATTAAGACTAAAAAGAAAATAAAAACCAAAGAAAAAAAAATCAAAGCAAAAAAGTTGGTTGGCAACTTTTAATATATGACAAAGATAATTCTATCCTCAAATATAAGCATTAGCTCCATAAGTACCCCTCAATTCATTTTTAAAAACAAAGTTGATGTAACTATATAAATTATAAGTAGGGGATGGTTTTAATTGTTTGTATAGATTCCAATATGCAGGGTAGAAGTGACAAAAATTATTCAATCCAGAAAAAACTTACTTGATTGAATACAAATTCGAACAATTCAATTTGATAAAAAAATTAGTAATTCGAACTTGAATTAACTCAAATTCAAGTTGATCCAAATTTGATTTAGGGTGCATTTGGAATTAACAGAATCCCTAGTAGGGGTGTGGTTTGCATGAAGAGATGGGACAAATGAACTGAAAACTCGTTTGGGTATCCATGTTATGGCATGATTATCACCAATTAATCATTAGAGGATTTTGTTCTAGTCATTCATCGTGGTTTTTTATTATTTATTTTTTACTTTTTTGCCTTCAAAGTTGAGTTGCAAAGATAAAATTATCTTTTTAATGTATTTTTTTCTTTTCATTTTTATTTAAAATTATAAAAATTTTATTAATTTAATATAATAAATAAATTTCATTATATAATAAATTAATAAATAAATTTTATTATATGGTAAATTAATAAATAAAAGTTAATTATTTATTAACAAATAATTTAATAATTTTCAATTATTTATTAATTTATAAATATTAAATAATTTAAAATTTTATTACATATAATTTTTATAGTTCAAGTCCTTAATGGTTATATATTTTCTTATTACAATTTATCTCAAACTCACTATTGTGTTTGCATCCAAACGTATATCTTACCATTGATTTTAATCTCATCACTAGAGTAATTAATCTAACTTCTACTATTGTTCTCCATCTCATTAGAGTTAATTTTCACTATCCATCCAACCAAACCCTTAATTCAATTTGAATTGAACTGACATGAATTGATTTGAACTAAAATGAACTTGAATCTAATATAACCCAAACTTGAATAATATGAAATACTTTGAAATGATTTAAATTTTACTTTGTAAAAATATTAATGTAATTAAAAAAATAAATATAAGTACATAACATAAATTGATTTTAACTTAAATTGACAAAAAGTGTATTTAGATCAATTACTTTTAACATTTTAAAATTTTATACTTTTATATATAGTGTAGATACCTAATTTTGTTTGGATCGATTTGAGCTTATTTGATTTTTGTATTTGATATGAACACTTTGCTTTAGGCTTATTTGAGCACTTTGATTGGTTACATCTTGTTGGGCCCATTTAGGCTTTATTATTTTAAATATATATATTTTGTATATATTAAAATTAGGTCCAACTTAATTTGGGTTGATTTAAAATTGGATCAAATCCAAGATTAAATTTTAAAGCCTAAAATTTTAAATTTAACATTTTAAGGCCCAATTGTAATTTTAAAACCCAATAAAATTCCAAGTTCAGCCCAAGTTCATTTTAAAAACTAAAATCTATTTTATTAAAGTTAATTAATTAAAAAAATAAAAAAAAAGATTAATAAAAAGAAAATTAAAAAAAAAGAAATTTACAAAAGATGAGGGAGTGTCGGTTGCCATAGTAGCCTTCCCTCCTCAAAACTCATCTTCCCAAATTCAGATTTTCATTTTTATCTTTCATTTTCACCCATTTTACTTTTAACACAATTTTGTGAAGCCATCTACTTTTTCTCTACAGCCTAAAAAGCTTAGCACTACTCAACTATAGAAGTAGCCTGCTTCGCCAATAACCATTATTGCACATCTACCACACCAATCCAAAAAGCTAATTCCAAAGAAACCTTTTAGGGGAGAGTTGGGTTTTATAAGGAAAAAGCCAATTTACAAGAAAAAAAAAAACACGAGATCACTCGGCCATCATACAACTTCACTTCTTTATTACCAGGGCCAAAAAAAAAAAAATCAAAAAACCAATCCCCAAATTGTGATCTATGGCCTCCAACAACCCATGCCTCCACATCTAAGCCATCAGTAGCAACTAATACCCTAACCAAAAGTAATCAAGCTAAGCCCTAAAAATACTAGACTCACATTTGGTCTCCCTAAGAGCTATCCACTACTAAATAAGAAAAAAAAATAAAAAATTACAACACCAAAAATAGCCATAGTCCTCAATTTGAGAGGAACCTTAGTCAAAGCCACAACAAAAAATAATAATATAACAAAAATAAAGGACGAGTTGGAGGGTTTTTGGGAGGGGATTTTTTTTGCCCTTTTTTTTTTTTAGAATTATGGTTTCTTAGTTTGAAGTAGAGGTACACTAGAATTTGTGGAGAGAGAAAAAGATGGTTTTTGGGCTGTAAGTGGTAGTGGGAGAGATGGCGATGTAAACGGTAGTGGCATAAGGCGGCTCTTAGTTGCTTAGGACTATTGGATGATTAGAACTAGTGAAAATGAAAATTGAAGAGGAAAGAACAACATATTAAAAGATCAGAAGGATCAAACAGTGGGATTTTGAGTTTTAGTGGTTTAAAGTTTCAGGCTTTAACCGTAGATCTAGGAATTTAAAAGTTGATTTTGAGAAATCTGAGCTTGGATTTGAGAAAAAGATAAGGAAAGGAATCTATAGATAAAACTTGGGTTTAAAATGATGTTGATCGGTAGCAACGACAACTGACGGTCCAGCCAACTATTGATTACCGAAAGCTAAGTTTAAAGTGGGGGTTTGGCTTTTGGTTCTGAGAGGAAATGGAGGGTTTTTTAGAGAAGAAAGATGAAATGATTTAAAAAAAGGTTTGCTTTTAAAAGTTGTAAAAAAAAAAAACTGAAGCTATCGAGTGGGTCAAACTAACTTGATTTGGTCTAACTAATGCTCAATTAACACAGCTTGGTGGCCTGACCCAATTTTGGTAGACCCAACCTAAACCATTTGGTTCTAGCCTTACAACCTGATTCCTCTAGCTTAGTTGATTGTGGGTTTTGGGCTTCAACAACAAATTTTTGTTAGGTATAATCTTTTTACCTTAGTTATTTCATTATATATATTTTATATTTTATTTTATTTCTCTTTTGAATGTATGACATGAAAAAATGATATTTATGAAAATAAAATTGTGAATATTTGATACTACAATATTATCACTATCATGAATATTCCTAAGAAATGATTATTTCGGGGAGTAAAAATATAATATGATATTTTAAAAAAAAAGGATTTTGAAAGCCTTGTTTAGATGTTTAAGGGAATCCAAATGGTGTTTTGAAAATTTT